GGGCACACACGGGGGGGAGGGGTTCTCACTCAGGGCACTTCCCCGCCCGACATACTTATTCTAGGTCACTGCCTGAAAGTAATGAAGCCGGAGGATCAGCATGACAACCGGGCCCCCAGCAGGGACGGCCCCCCGGATCTTCTTCCATCAGCACTGCGGCTCCGCCCTTTATTGTAATGCCCTCATACGCTCATCACTGGACCGAGGCAGATGGGGAAGCCGCAGGATAGAGATGACCCCCCCACCAGGGAAGGGGGAGATGCGTCCTGCTCCGACACCCTATTCTGTCCAATGTGGGTGGAGCTTCCTGCAGTGACACGTGTGTCACATAGGAGGGGGCAGGGGTTGCTCCACCCACACAGGAGGGGGCAGGAGTTGCTCCACCCACATAGGATAGGAGGGGGTCAGGGCAGGAAGCTCCGCCCACATAGGAGGGGTCTGGGGTTGCTCCACCCACATTGGATAGGAGTGGTCAGGGCAGGACGCTCCACCCACATAGGAGGGGTCTGGGGTTGCTCCACCCACATAGGAGAGGTCAGGATGCTCCACCCACATTGGATAGGAGTGGTCAGGGCAGGATGCTCCACCCACATTGGATAGGAGGGGTCAGGGCAGGACACTCCACCCACATAGGAGGGGTCAGGGCAGGGGACTCCACCCACATAGAAGGGGTAAGGGCAGGGGACTCCACCCACATTGGATAGGGAGGTTCAGAGCAGGAATCCCCGCCCACATAGGAGGAGTCAGGGCAGGACGCTCCACCCACATTGGATAGGAGGAGTCGGAGCAGGAAGCTCCACCCACATAGGAGGGGTCAGGGCACTTCACCCACATTGAATAGGAGGAGTCAGAGCAGGAATCCCCGCCCACATAGGAGGGGTCAGGGCAGGACGCTCCACCCACATTGCATAGGAGGATTTAGAGCAGGAAGCTCCGCCCACATAGGAGGGGTCTGGACGCCCCGCTGTGAGAGACCATAAATAAATCTGCTCCACTCACAATGTGACAACGTGGAATGTTTATGGGCGGAGCCATGCAATCATATTCACATTATGAGGACACAGAGGGGGGCGGGGCCAAGCAGCACACTAGGCGTCCGGGGACAAAGGCTGCGATTGGTCGGCGAGTCCTCCGTGCGTCTTCTGGTGACGCTTGTAGTTGTCCCAGTGGCCTGTAGTGTAGTTGCATTGTGTGCAGCGGAAGGGCTTCTCCCCCGTGTGACGTAACATGTGACGTTTGAGGTTCATGCTTTGGTTACACGTGTAGTTGCATTGTGTGCAGCGGAAGGGCTTGTCCCCGGAGTGGGTGCGCCCGTGCCTCTTCAGGTTGGCCAGGTTGCCGCAGGCGTAGTCACACGCCGGGCACTTGTACGGCTTCTCCCCGCTGTGGACTCTCTGGTGCCTCTTCAGGTTGTCGTAGTGCGCCGAGGCGTAGGGACACGCGTGACACGTGTACGGCTTCTCCCCGCTGTGCGTCTTCATGTGCCGGGACAGGTGGTTGGGGTAATGGGTGACAAACGGGCACAGGGCGCAGGAGAAGCCTTTGCCGGGGCTCCCCGAGGAGCAGCACCGCCCCTCCCCCTCACCACACGAGCGGCACGCGAAGGGGAAGAGCAGCTCCGGGAGGCCGCCGTCTGCCGAACCCTCCAACACGGGCGAGGGCGGGCCGCGGTGCAACCGGACACACGCCGGGAGAAAGGCTTCCAGGTCATCGGAGGTCACCGGGAGTGTCATGGCCGCCGCCGGCACGTCTGCAGGGAGAGGCGGAGACACGTTAGATGGGGGCGGGAACACAACAATCAAGAGGGGCGGCCCTACGCTGAGGACACACCCACCGACGTGTCACCGGGGAGGCCCTACGCTGAGGACACACCCACCGCCGTGCCACCGGGGAGGCCCTACGCTGAGGACACACCCACCAAAGTGTCACCGGGGAGGCCCTACGCTGAGGACACACCCACC